AATAGATTGGGAGGTGAGCGAACACGTACCATCGCTCGCTCTTTTCTCGATCATCTCCCTGCAGAGAGCAGTGACTGTCACTCACGACTCCCTGCAGGGATTACCCCCTCCACGTTCTGATCCTCCAGCGCTGACTGGAGGAACGGATGGGGGATGGTGCGGGTACAGCTGGCTCTGCCTCTAGATAGGCATAGCCAGCTGTCACTCACTCAGCTGGGCGGATCTCGACAGTAATGTCGCGATCCATCCCGGCTGCAGCAGTCTCAGTATACCGCGAGCTGTAGCTCGTGATATCCTGAGCTTTGGGTCACAGGAGGACGCTAGTATATGTCCTCCGTGACCATTAAGAGGAACAATGGGGAAAAACACTTACCCCATAGTTCTCTTAAATCATCCAAGTTCTGTTGTTTTTTTTTTTTATTGTCTTCTAGGAGAGAGCTGAGGAGGACTCTCACCTTGCACAGCGACCCATAGGCTGAGAACCACTGCTATAGGCAAAGACAGGACCGGGCTCTGCAGCTGGAACTAGAAGAATTGGATTTAAAGTGTGTGGCTATATAACGTATGAGGTACATACTCCGCAGTACTGTCACTGATAGGGATGGGCGCGGGCGTAGTCGCAGCACCACGTGCCGAGCCCGCCAGGAAGCTGACAGTGCGCAGTGTCAATCACAGGCACTGAGACATTGCCCGATCTCTGCAGCTGCGGACCAGGAAAATGGAATGCATAGCTAGAAGTGTGTTTTTTACATATTTTTTTGCTTGAATACATACATATTGCACCCGCCCTCTGCTGCTGTCAATCACTAGAAGGGGACCTGGTGGAGAACTTCAGGTCCCCCTCTGCTGATTGTCAGCATCAGAGGGCGGTTGCAATAGCTGGTTTGCTATTGGCTTTTGCAAAGTGAAATAGCCAATAGGAATCTAGCTATGCATTCCTATGGTGGGTTTTTTTGTTTTTTTCTGACTAGGCGACCCCTGGCAAATCGTCATTCGACCCCCGAGGGGGTCCTGACCCACAGGTTGAGAACCACTGGCTTACATTGTAACAGTGATTGCAACAAGTTTATTCAAGCTTCACTGAAATGCATGCAACATCAAGAAACCTCTAGACAAAGTACGCAGGAAACCAAAAAGATGTAAGGGCAGTTGCCCATGGCACCAAGTAGGTGTTTTACCTGCTGAGATTTGTGAATAAGTTATTGGATACTCAGGCCAGTGTAATAAAATCTTTGAACCACTTTCAGGATTCAGCGGCTCTCCCTCCTCTTCAGACAAAGAATTAACCAAGTGACACCAAATTACTTTTTACATCTTATGGAGACTCCAGTTTTATAAGCTCACCACTAGCACAGTATTTTCCATAAGCTTCGTGAATGAGGTGACTTAAAGGAGAACTATGAGGTGAGTGAAAATCACTCAGCCTCATAGTTCGAGCCTGTCACACGCCGGGTCAATAGATTGGGAGGTGAGCGAACACGTACCATCGCTCGCTCTTTTCTCGATCATCTCCCTGCAGAGAGCAGTGACTGTCACTCACGACTCCCTGCAGGGATTACCCCCTCCACGTTCTGATCCTCCAGCGCTGACTGGAGGAACGGATGGGGGATGGTGCGGGTACAGCTGGCTCTGCCTCTAGATAGGCATAGCCAGCTGTCACTCACTCAGCTGGGCGGATCTCGACAGTAATGTCGCGATCCATCCCGGCTGCAGCAGTCTCAGTATACCGCGAGCTGTAGCTCGTGATATCCTGAGCTTTGGGTCACAGGAGGACGCTAGTATATGTCCTCCGTGACCATTAAGAGGAACAATGGGGAAAAACACTTACCCCATAGTTCTCTTAAATCATCCAAGTTCTGTTGTTTTTTTTTTTTATTGTCTGTGAATGGGCATTCTTTGCAAAGTGAATTTTCTTGGCATTCACTAAGCAAAGGGAAAATTCCCTTGCCAAGTGAACAGTCTATTTACCTTCAGTAAATCAGCTGGATCATTAATCTTCCTGCAGCATCATCTGTCCTCTAATAAATATTTAATAAAAGGAGATGCATCTGGAAACTGGCTTACAAAGATTTTCCTGGACATACCCTTTAACTGCCAGAGCTACAGAAACCGTTCAGCTGGCCATACACTTATTGAGTTCTCTTTCCACGCTATATAGCTTACATGCTAAATAGCATGGATGGACGAATCTCCCCTTGCCAGGCTGTTGTATTCTGACAGTGTTGGCGGTTGCTGTCAGAATACCCAAACAGTGACTGCAGGCAATTTTCTTTTGACGAACGTGAACAGTTTGAAAGAAAGTCTCTTCCGGAGGACAGAATTAACTCCCCCTCATTAACATACAAAGGGAGACGGGCTTCTTATTATTTAACCCTTTGTTAAGGCACACTGGGTCGCAGTGCAGACAGGGTTAATTATAGTAAACATAAATTCTCACACACAGCCCCCTCATTACTTAGCGGGGAAGCTAGGTAGGATTTAAAGTGACATTAAAGGCAAACATTATTTTCCGTCCCCCCATGTTAATGTCAGCACTTACCTTAAATGAGTCTCTTTTTCCGATCTTCCTCTTCTTTCCTGATGTTTTCATGTGTCCCTCCAGCGGTGGGGCGGCTCTCCGATCCAGCGCTGACTGCTCTGTCCCTCCGATCCAGCGGTGTCTGCAAGCGGGTGCACGCGTCCATATACTTACCTTGCGCCCCTCGTCGCGTCCCGGCCGAAAATGAGAACTGCGCATGCACGAGCCCCAAGATCCTTTGCGGCCGCTCGAGAAATTTCTCATTTTCGGCACGGAACAAAAGTGAGTCTAAACTGCTGTTTTGAGCGGTTTTTTTTTGTTTTGTTTTGTTTTAAAACTCTTTGCATATATCTACTGCTTGCTAGCAGTAAATATATGCAAAAAAACGGGAGGGTTTAAATATCCTTTAAGCAAGTAAAAAGCACTTAAAAATTTAAGCAGTGTTTTTTGTTTTTTAATATATTTTTTTAAAGTTATGTGACTAGGAGCACATAGGAAAAATGAAAGTAGGTGTTATGCAAAAGTAGAAATACACTTTAATGACAATAGTTTTACTGGATTAGTTTTAGAAACTTGTTAAAATGATTTGAAGTTGCAAAATGGTTACAAGTAAAATTCATACACGGCTCAATTATTGTTCTAGAAAAGCACAATGATATTTTGCATTTGTTATAAACTTTGGGGATACTATGCAGTTTTTGAGAAATACACTAAGCATTTGTTCATCGTGAATTACAGTTCAAAAAATATCTTTAAAGGAAATATGAGTTTTAGGTTGTGTGATGTAAGGCTGTCAAGATTTGTTATTTGAAAAATAAGGTGTTTAGAGTCTTCTCTAGAGTACACGATTTTATTGTGTTGTTCTCTTTGAAGATTGCAAGCGTACTTGATTCCGCCCTGGGTCATCAGTCTTTGAAATAACGCATACAATGGTTAACACCTTAGGAAAAAGAAGCCTGTACGTAGTTGGGGAGAGTTTGTGATATTTGATGGGAAACGAGAAATGACAGCATGTGCACATCATCAATAATAAACAGATGGCAAGGCGGCTTAAGTGGTGTAGACCTTAGTTCTCTCTAATAAGTTTGCTTTAGAGTTTTGGGGGGGGGTTTTTCCTTTTTTGTTTCTGTATTCCTTTTGGTGGTAAATAGATTTTTTCCTTAGCACTTGCAGTGAAGTGTTTGTGAGTGATATAAGTTTAGACATGGTGTTTATTTGAAGGCATATACAAATTGATTGCTTTGCTGTGGAACATTCATGCTGTGCTAAGAACTGGATTATGCCCTCCACATGCTGGTTTTGTCACAAAAAAATGATGTGAATGGGCTTAGAGAGGGATATTAATACATGTCCTCCTTTTTCTTTTATTGAAACATTACCCTTGTGTGTGGGAAGTAAGCTTGTGTACTTTAGTGTGCGTGACATATAGTGTGGGTTGTT